ATCATACTAAAAGGAACACATGCATCCCCCCAGAGCACTTACAGGTTCACATTCAAGACCATTCGCACCTGTCCCTGAACAATGCAGCAGGCATTGGATCGTTAAATTCATGGGCTAAAGAGATACTGTGGGTCCACTGATCCCAATTAAGTTGATAAAAACCTTTGGATGATGGCAAATACATTCAGTTTCTTATTTTCATTTTCAAGACCATATCACATTACATACAATAACAGAAGGATGGCACACGACGTGGCCAAAGTACAACCAGTGTTACTCAAACAGAGGAAGAACGTTCTTTAGACAAAACACCCAGTTAACAGATGACTTTAAATGGACGGTTCAAATAATCACCACCGTCATCACCATCACAGAGGTTACAGATCCTCTGGTTTCTGTCCAGCCCGTCACATCTTCACTGACTTCAGGACTTCTGGTGTTATTTACTCTAAAGTTACAAACAGCCTTTTTTGTTTTCATGCCACAGATCCTTCTCCAGTTTAAACTCTTGTTTAAATATATATTATATACCACATGATGTCACACTGCTGAGCTCACTTGACCACTTTTGTATTAGCCTCTGTTCATCAGTTAGTTTGAACCAGCTGATGTTGTTACACTTTGGTGAAGCGATGGGCAAAGCAGTTCTTTAGATGTTACTGAATCACTAAAGGAACCCATGCATCCCCCCAGAGCACTTACAGGTTCACATTCAAGACCATTCGCACCTGTCCCTGAACAATGCAACAGGCATCCCCCCAACAAATCCAGAACATTCAGAACCTGTTTTTCTATCTCCTAATGCTACAAACTGCTGCTTGGGCAACACTGAGAAAAATAGCTCAGGATCATTTAGAAGTTAAAAAACAAACAAAAAACTACAAAGATACAGGGAGTTTCAAATACTTCTATAGATGTTGGTGTTTCAAATACCCCATACAATTTATTCATGTGTTTAATTATGGTCTAAGTTAAACTAAGTAAAAAAAAATAACAGAAAAGCACATTTAGAGCTTCGTTACAAAGAATCATCTAATACTTTAAATTTCTACTACATTTTTTTCAATTTGTGACCATGTGAGAAGTGTGTAAGGAGCACAGGCTATTTTGACTACCACACTGACCCAACGTTGTAGAATTACAACATAGACATAACAAGCTATAAATCAAATTTGATGAATGTTTTCCAAAATAACTAAATATGTACATGTTCTAGACATTGTAATAAACACAAAAAATTTTTTTTAAGGAATTTTACTTACTTTAATCCTGACAAATCCAGTCATGCAAAAAAAGGAGATGAGCTCAACGGGAAGTTTGCAGGTAGAGTTCATGGGCAGATGACCAGACCTATAAACACTTCTTCTATCCAACAGCATTGTGAGGACAAACAATAGGACCCATTAACTACGTATATGTGGTCTTGAGAAAAAAAAAACATTTGCAGGCCTTTTTTTTAAGAATTGTTAAAAGTGATGTTGTAAATTTGCAACAGTGGGTTTTACAGGGTTAAAAATCGAAATAGACAAGTTTTTTGCTTTAACTTATCATTATGAAGTTAATGTTTATTGCACGATGTGATGGCTATAAAACAATGACACCATCATTTTTAGACTGATTCCCTATAATCCTTGCTTTTACTAGCCAACTGGTGATCCTGTGCCCAGACCTTTGAATCTGCTCACTCCACTGAGTTCATATTAAAGTATTCATCTGGGTTAGGGTTAGAGCAACCACTGGTTATGACTTCCCGAGAACATGAAGGCTCGATTTACGTCACAAAGGCAGTGCGTCAACCATTGTGCAACCAAAACCAGAAGAGGATAGTGCTTCTGTTTACCCTGGTAACTATCGGTAGCTATCCCCAGCTACCAAAGTTTATCGGTCCAAGTTCTTTGCAGCTACTATCACCGATAGAAATGGCTGACGGTGGATCGGCAAAAGTAACAGTGAAAATTCTAAAAAGAAAAAAAGTCCCTTTGCTAGGCTCTGAGGGAAATGGAAAGCAATTTGGTTGTCTCTGTGACAGTGGCACCAACAATAATACCGCATGGAAACATTAGGAGTGGAATCGCTTTATATGGTGATTAAACTGCTTCTACTTGTATTTGGAAATGGGCTTTTTCTGTTGACCATTAAACTTTATGATGATTGCATTTTTTTCTTAAGGCTTTGCAAGTCAAGAAGGTGAAAGAATTTTGGTACAGTATAATCTTTTAATGAAAAGAATAATTACCAAGTTTAAGAATCTACAGCATAGCCATCAAGTGACTCATCAAGGCCGAATTTGGGCACAGCGTGGGTGTGAGCTAAATGCTAAGGTCACACAATGAAAATGCTGACATCTGATTCCAGTTCCGGACCGCCCTGACTCCCCACCGCATCAGTAAATCTTGCGTTGCTACTGTTACACAGGTTAGTCCCAGCGCTGCTGCTGGCCACAAGCCCTCGGTGAAAATTAGAAATTTGGGTTGTGTGTGCCTGGGTGGGCTGCTGAAGTAGAGCCTATGTGCTGAGGCTGAGCCCCAGACAACCCTGGTCTGGATTAATTTAACCCCTGATTGTGTGTGTCCACGAGCTTGCACTTAAAACTTATTATTTTACGCTGCTGTGGCATTCCTAATCAAGATATGTCGCTTAGAATTACAGATGGATATTTTAGAGGAAAATTAAAAGGATCACCAAAGTCAGTGGGATTTATCATCTGGGAACCATGAATATCTGTACAAAATTTTGTCACAATCTGTCTTGCAGATTTAATATATGTCACTGGATATAGTTAGTGAATATGTCTACCCTTCTAATGGCCCTAGACGAAAAGCAGTAGAGCAGTAGAAAGTCAGTAGAAATCTGGGGAACACTAATATCTTTACAAAATCTTATGGCTAATAGTTGTTGAGGTATTTCAGTCTGGACCAAACTGATGGACTGACTGATGACCATATATGAAGGACATCCCTAAAGCCAGGCTGCTAAAAATGTCCAAATTTGTTTGTAGTCTTGTCTAGATGGAAACAAAACCTCCGGCACAAGGCGCTCACTAGTCCCAGAGCACCTGACTGTGTGTGTTGCGTCAGCTCTTCATGCATGCGACCACGTCATTCTCAAATGTCAGAAAGAACAGATTAATTGTTGGGAAGCATTCTCCTCTGTCGTTACCGTTGTCCAACAATTTCAAATTCAACAAATGTCAAGCAAATTACTCAATTATCTAATTGTATCTTACCACACAGAGGAATAACAACGAGTAAGCAAGCATATTTCAATAAGAAGTGACCATTCTTCTCCAACAGCTGACCTACAATCAGCTAATAATACTAATACTTACATATTACTGGTAAGTAAACACATAATTATATAAATGACATTAATTTATTCTATTTAAGAAAGAAATGTCATGTTATTTAAGAACATTAATTAACATTAGCACACGAGTCAATCATGTAAATGCACCAGAGTTAACCATACAGGTTAATTTCCATCATCATCCCCTGGCAGGTTGATGGCATAAAGTCAGTTTTTGTGACAAATTGTGGAAAAACCCTGCAGTGTACTGGTTATAAAAATAGATCTCAAAAGAAATGAAAAGGGAAACACAAAGTTGTGACAAAGCATCTTTAACTACCAGCAGTTATTGTGGTGAGACGATGTATCAGTCCAACCCTTGTGACTCTCTTTGCCTCTATGTTGCTCCCTCCTGTGTTATGTTAATGCTGCGTCTTCAGGATAGTCAGGACTGATAAAGGTTTCACTGTTGGTTTTGATATAAAGCTTCACAGAACGTCACACATGACTGGCGACCGGCTCCTTTTTCATCCTGCAGTGGCATTAAATGTCTCAATGCCATCTGGAGCCGCGAGAATAGAAACTCTCCCTTTAAAGATGCCCATTTTAATTGGTAAATATTTACTTGCAGGAGCTCTCTGCGGGCACACACACGACTTCTAATGAAGCACTTTAAAGCCTATGGGCTCTTGCTGCTTACTTTGAGTGTGATTCTAAACAAATGCAACCTGGGGTTGAACTGTTGATAACGGTTGATAAGGGCCGATGAAACACAACGCTAAACACTGTGGCGAGCATGCAGTGCATAATAACTGCTCCAGTACAATTACCGTGTCACTGTTAACGCTGTGCTTCCCTCTATGTGTGTGTTTGTGTGTGCGGTTCTGAGTGTGGTTTGTGCAGTCATGTGTACAAGTGTATGCGTGTCTGTGAGTGCTGGGGCTGATTGGTAAAATCCAATATCACAATATTTTTGACCCAGTATCTTTATATATATATATATATATATATATATTTATTGATGTTGTGTATTTA